AAAAAAAAAAAGAAAGAAAAAGAAGAAAAAGGAATTACTGAGGGGCTAGGTTCCATTCTTTTTTCATGTACAGGTTTTACATCTCCAGCACGTCTCCATACAGACCAGCCAGCTCTCAAGTGCTCAACAGCCATATGGGCCGCATGGGTACCCTAGCGGGTGACATGAACTTAGACTTCTGGAACTTGAGGGAGAAACAAGCCTCTATCTCTTCATACTTACAGAGAATGTAATCCTTAGCAGCACACAGGGCTTTTGATGAACCACATGCTGTTGGACAATCAAGAAGAAATTAAAGTGAGATTGCTGACCCAAAACTGAAAAGCGAAGTGCCTTAGAAAAGCCAGGCAAGCCTGCCTTGTACGCCCTATCCTGTCTCTCTCAGTGCTCTCAGTGCTCCCAATGGCTCCGTGAGGGAGGCATCATCTTTATTCCACAAAGATTCTGAGCTTGGACAGTGTGGTGGATGCCATCATGTCCAGCCAAGGTGTTTCCTCTCCAGCCGCGGCACTCAGGCCCCTGCTGCAGGGAGCCTTGGCAGGTGACAACACAGATAGGTCCCTCTCCAGGACTCTGCTGAGCCGCTTTGCCCAAAGTCATGTCCCTTCCCCAGGGCAACCACATCTGTCCATGACTGGTCAAGGTGATGTATAAAGGCCTGAACCCAGCAGGGCGCGGTGGCTCACGCCTGTTATCTCAGCACTTTGTAAGCCCGAGGCGGCTGGATCACGAGGTCAAGAGATCGAGACCAGCCTGGCCAACACGGTGAAAACCCATCTCTACTAAAAATACAAAATTAGCTGGGCGTGGTGGTGCGCACCTGTAGTCCCAGCTATTCAACAGGCTGAGGCAGGAGAATTGCTTGAACCTGGGAGGCAGAGGTTGCAGTGAGACGAGATCACGCCATTGCACTCCAGCCTGGAGACAGCCTGGCCCCAGAGCTCACATAGGATCCACTGAGGCCTCACAGGTGAACTCTGTCCTCTGCTCTCTGCTTCCTTCCCTGGAAGCTGTTGATCCTAAGAGCATCCAACACTGTGATAAACATGTTTGCATACGCTTTCCCTCTGGCTAAATCCTGCCCTTTACCTTGGCCATCCTTCACCTCCCATTCATGCCTCAAAACCGTCTTCTCAGACGTGAAGCCTCAGTCTTCATCGTGACCTCTTCCGAAAGCAGCTGGGAATCCCCGTGGAGCTGCTAAGGAGGTGACTCCTGAGTACTCAGTGGGGCCCTTACCGCTGCCTCTGCAGGGACCCTGGGCTGATCCTGAGAGCAGAGGACACCTGGTCACAGCACCTTTGCCCAGTGTGGGGTGAAGAAAGGAATGCAGGGCCTTAAGACAGGAATGGATGAGAGTCAGAGTACCGTTGTTGAATTTACAGACCTGGCCTCAAATCCCAGCTGTGGCAGTGAGCCTCCCAAGCCTGTCTCTTCAATCGTAAGGTGATGTTTCTACTTCTCAGTGTCAAGAGATGGCAGTGCATGGCTCCGAGTCTGGCCCACAGTAAAAGTTCATGTTCCCACCATGGGAATTGTGAACATTCACAAAATAAAAAGGGGACTGGCAGGCCATCTCCTGCACATTTGTCTTCTCCTCCTCCTCACCAGACTGCTCGCCCCAGGGGTCCAAACTAGTCCTAACTGTGCCCCGTAACACCAGAGAGTCAGGGACAGAAAGATGCATTTTTGTTCACACAGTGTGACTCAAATGCTGTCTCTGTAGAATTCTATTCTCATGTTGTTAAAAACCTACAAAGGGAGAGAAGGTAGGCAGGCACCCAAAATACACAGATAGAGTCATACTTAGGTCATGAGAGCCATCATTCCTGAGAAGCTAAACTCACCTGAACCTAAGCTTCACCACAACCATGAAATGAGGGCTTATTATTCCCAATAGCAAAACAGATCCAGTGTATCATTTTTCCGTTTGTATGAAACAAACCAGCCCACACCTTACTGGTGTAAGGCCACAGCCATCCATTTGCTCACGAGGCTGCATTTTGGGCAGGGCTTGCTTCAGTTCTACGAGGTGTGGTTGGAGGCAATTCACTGGGGTATCTTAGATGGGCTCTGCTGGGTGGCTGGAGGAATTGGAGGCTGGCCAGGTCTGCCTCTCCAACAGGGCATGTGGATTCTACCTGGTGGCTCAGAGCTCTGGGAGAGTTAAGAGAAGCTGCTTATCACGCCTGTAATGCCAGCACTTTGGGAGACCGAGGTGGGTGAATCACCTGAAGGTCTGGGGTTCGAGACCAGCCTGGCCAACATGGTGAAGCCCCGTCTCTACTTAAAATATAAAAAATTGGCTGAGCGAGGTGGCTCATGCCTGTAATCCCAGGACTTTGGGAGGCTGGGGCGAGCAGACCATGCAGTCAGGAGTTTAAGACCAGCCTGACCAATATAATGAAACCCCGTCTCTACTAAAAATACGAAAATTAGCCGGGTGTGGTGGCGCAGGCCTGTAGTCCCAGCTACTCAGGAGGCTGAGGCAGGCGAATTGCTTGAATCCAGGAGGTGGAGGCTGCAGTGAGCCATTCCACTGCAACCTGGGCAACAAGAGTGAAACGTCAAAAAAAAAAAAAAAAAAAAAAAAAAAGAGAGAAGCTGCCTAGGGGCCAGCCCGGAGGGGAACAGCATTACTTCCTCTCCATTCTACGGTTAGAGCAAGTCACAGGGCCAGCCTATACAGAAGGGGGAAGGGAGGAAAGAGGCACCATCTCTTGCTGGGAGAAGCAGCATGAGGTCCATTTCCTCCACCCGAGGTCACACATTCAGATGTAGCCACTATAATATTGACTTCCCTTCCTCCAGGCCTTTGCCCGAGCCTCTGCTCTCCCTCCATCTCCACAGACTGGTTTCACTTCCACTCACCCATCCGTCAGGAGACATCACTTCACCTGGAGCCTCTTCGGATCTCCAAGTCCCCCTCTGTGTTCGCAGGGCAGTCTTTACTTCCCTGACCACACTGCGCTGTCGCTGCTTATCCACACGCCTTTCCAGTTAGAACTCGAGGGTGAGGCCAGCAGAGGACAGCTTCCTTCCAGAATGCCTCCTATTTAAACAGTGGGTTTATCATGGCCCCTGATGGCGTGGAGTTGTGGGGGTTGGTGTTAAGGATGTTTCTTTGGAAGTTGCCTTAAGACTGATCCCTGGGCAAGGAACTGGAAGGAAGCCGGAGGGAGACCCTGAGCAGGACACAGGTCCTGTGACAGTTTTGGCTGTCCTCATGAGGAGTTCTGGGGCTAAAATACTGCATCAGCGCTGTCCTCAATCGGGCAGAGAGAGCCAGGCTTTTGTACGCCTGCCGGGATAGTCACGGGAAGTGGGCTATCCCAAGAGGGACATGACAGAGGGCGAGGCTGCTCTCTTAGCAGGAGCAGCTCCTGGAGAAGCCGATGGTTGGCAGACTGTCTGGTGACAGCACCACCTGTAGCTGGGGAAAGATTTCCATTCTCCTAACAGGGCAGAACAGCGGGGTGGTGGCAGTCCTTGAGGGCTGCACAGAGGAAGTGGTTTGCCAGTGGTGACCTGGGGCTGGAGGGAGGCGGGCAGGAGAAGCAGAGTGAGGGAGGGTTTGAGCCACATCCATGCTTGGGGGAGTGGAAGTTCCGGACCCAGGTCTCCAAGGGATGTCATTTGACTGGGTTAATACAGAGGGACAGAATCTCCTCTGAGCCAGGTGCTGTGGCATGTACTGGAGGACCGGACAGCACCTGGATGTGGGTCAGGTGTGGAACTCCACTCCCTCCTAATGGCCCTCCCCTCCACCCTATGACCCACTGTCTACACTGCTGCCAGACTGATCTTTCCAAAAGGCAAATCATACATGTGACATGTGACTCCTCTACTTAAAACATAGAGTAAAATCCTAGCTCCTTGTCTTGGACTGCCAGGCCTTCTGATCTTCCCCACCCTTCTCACCTCATCTCCTATGCTCTCCCCAGGACCAGCCATGCCAAGTAGGTCTTCCTCAAGGCCTTGGTAGTCATTTGTTGCCTCTGCCGGGAACTATTTTTCCCCTAGGTATTGTTCACAAAGATGCTTCCTCAGCATCCATCAGGCCTCAGCTCCATGTCACCTCCTCCAGGAAGCCTTCTCTGATTACTCCCTTGATGCATTCCTTTTTTTTTTTCCATGTTTACTCAACAAGTATTCATCTTAACTATGTCCCACGCACTGTTCTAGGCAGTGTGGGTAATGTGTTAGGGGGCCAGGCAGGTCCTGTCCTCTTGGAGCTTACAGTCTAATGGGAAAGACAATACACAAGCTAAAAAAAAAAAAAATGCCGGCGTGTCTTGGTGTCTCAACAGTTTGGGAGGCTGAGGTGGGCGAATCACCTGAGGTCAGGAGCTCGAGACCAGCCTGGCCAACGTGGTGAATCCTCTATTAAAAACACAAAAAGGAGCCGTTGTGGGGGGCGCTTGTAATCCCAGCTAGTCGGGAGGTTGAGGTAGGAGAATCGCTTGAACCTGGGAGCGGAGGTTGCAGTGAGCCAAGATCACGCCACTGAACTCCAGCCTGGATGACAGAGCAAGACTCCGTCTCAAAAAAAAAAGACGTGATTTCAGAGCGTGTGAAGTGCTATGAAAAAAGAAGAGCGAGGAAAGGGGGCAGAGATGGCCTAGGCTGGAATCTCCGACATCAAAGCTCTGGGCAGCCTCTTCCCAATCACGGAGCGGCTCGGGAGACTGGCCCTGGGCGCACAGTGGGGAGCAGAGGGCAGAGGGGCCGCGTGGGGCGGGTTCGGGGCGGCAAGGGGCACCTGGACCCCACATCGGAGCTTGGGGGAGGGCGCCCGGCCCCGGCCCCGGCCCCTCTGGTCCGGCCGCCCCGGAGGCGCGCTCGCTCGTGGTAAAGACACGCGCGCCGTCGGCCAGGTGCGGCGGCTCAGAGGAGCCGCCCTCTCGGCCGCGCTTCCTGCGGGGCGGGTCCCGTCGCCGTCCCGCCCCCTTGCCGCCCATAAATGAGCGGAGCCGGCCCGCACCGCAGGTTCAGAGAGCGGCATTCGGGTGCCGGTGGGAGCTCGGCGCGGCCCGCGTCTGCGCTGGCTGCCGCGCCCCAGTGGGCGCGTGGGAACTCCAGCCATGCTCTTCTGGCACACGCAGCCCGAGCACTACAACCAGCACAACTCCGGCAGCTACCTGCGGTAAGGGCCGTGCGCCGCCCCCGCGGGGATCGGGCCGGGCCGCCTGGCCGGGCGCCGTCGGATGTCAGGGCGCAGAGAGGGGGCGCCCCCCCGGGCCCCGGCCTCCCGGCTGTCGTCCTCTGGGGACTGAGAGATCCGCCCAGCGTCCCGCCTGGGGACTGACAGACGGAGGCCGGTGGGATCCGACCTGCGGAGTTGGGGGCCAGCCCGGGAGGCGGGCGCGCAGAGCCCCATGTCTGCGAGGGCTCCTCCCAGACCTCAGGGAGGCCGCGGGGCGCGCACCTGCCTGGCCCATCCGCCTCCCCGCGGCCCTCCTCCCCGCGCGTGTCGAAGTAGGGAAACTTCCTGCCAGCAGCCTGGTGCCCGTGTTCGTCCCCTGCTCTTTGCCCATGTCCACCGGGGCCCCTCTCCCTCCCTGCCTGGCGCCCTCTGGAGTGCCCTTCGTCCGCCCAGGGGCTGGTGGCGAGCGCGGACCTGCGCCCCAGCCTCGCGGGCGGCCGGCGGCAGGTGGCGGCGTGCTCGGAGGGGCTGGCCGCCCGCTCCCCGCGATGGTCTTGTGCGTGTTCGCCTGAGGTCCGCGTGGTTATTGCCCTTGATGGAAATCTTTCTTCTGCAGGAACTTGAGTAGTGCCCTTCAGAGGGGAAAGTAAGGCTTGTGTGTTTTGCACAGTTCCCCACAACCCCCTCTTACCAGTAGGACCCCCGTGTGCCCTTGCTCCCGGAGGATTGTTTTTCTCTGCTCTGCTGCCGGCCGGGACTAATGGGCAGTCATTTCACTTTGTGAACTCGCCTGAACCAGCTTTAGCCTGTCCTTATTTCCATCCTAGTCACAGTTTATGAAATGTGCCTAATTTAACCCAAAAGGCGTTTGATATGGGCTCAGGGAAGATGAATTATGAGGGTGAAGGAGTCACAGGCATTGACAGCCCCCATACCACAGCTACCTTCAGTGCTCGTTTTGGCCCCAAGAAGTTCCCACATAGATTTTAAAACGTTATTGGTCATTCCTGGCTGCTGGTAGGTATTTGTCCTCCCTGAAGACATCCCCTGTTCCTGAAGGCGGGGAAATGATTGGGTTTAGCCGATGTATCTGCTGTTTTTATTCATGGGTCAAAGCAGTAGGAGATGGCAAAAGTCTAGACCCTTAAAGGCTGACAGCCACCCGGCAGACCACGGGGATGCCACCAAAGGGAAGCTGCCCTGGGGGCTGTGGAAGCCCAGGGGGAGATGTTAATCACCCACAGATGAAGTGCCTGTTCACTTTTCAGAAATGCTGCAATGGGATACATTTTTGGTGTACTGAAGTTTTAGTTGTAGTTTTGCCTAAATTTTAGTTTGTGGCCAGTAAGTATGTTGCCATATCTTAAAAATGAGTTTGAAGGTGACCCTGAATTGAAGGTGAGTGTACTTAAAATTCCCTAGATACTCGCAATGTCATCACCCCCTTAGGGAATAATTCTGCCTTGTGTGGAAGGTACAGCTCTGCCACTTGCTACCAAGATGGAAATTTGTCTGGAGCACCTCACGTCACCTTTTAGGATCTGGTGAAAGGCAGAGGGCCATCGTTGGAAGTGGATGGTGCTGTAAGGCCATATTGGTTCCTGGGGTCATTGGGGGACCATGGATAAAGAAGTCCATGCTCTTTTTTATTCCACTTCTTGGAAGCTGGGGCTTTTGGCCTCCGTGAGGGCAAAGGTGGGAGAGTTTGTGCATATGCCCCTGATCCCCTGACTCTAGAGGGAGGGCCTTGTCCTTTTCCTTGGGTTTTCTGTATTTTATTTTTGGTCATCTCATGTCACAGATCTTCTGCAAGCTGTCTGACCTCACCAGGGGAGAGGCCTTTACTCCCTTACCCCTTTCTGTTTGATGTTCTCGTGACTTTTCTTCCTTGGCAAATAAGGATGCCAGGTTTGAAACAAGTTACTGTTGAGTGACGGTTCTTAACTCCCTCCGCCCTCCCGCCCCTTTTTAAAAAATGTAAAGGCAGCAGTCCATGGATTATTAGCTTGACATGGTCTGGGTGAACATGAAATTGTGCAGTCGCCAGTGTTCCTAGAGCATCACCTGGGCTGGGAGTGTGCTCTGCTCACACAGAAGGAAGACGCCCTGTGGGGGAAGCCGAGACGGCCTTGTGCCTTTATTTTTTGGCAGTGGATGGTGACAGGGAAGGCCGGCACAGGGCAGGTTTTCCAGGCGTATGTTCATTGCCAGGCTTTTTTTCTTCTCAAAGTTGATTAGACCTTGTTGGGGTGTGTGCCGGGTTTATGTTGTAGAGACGCTGGTTTATGATGTGCGAGGAACAGATTGTACCAGTGACTGTTTATACAGAGAAGTGGGGTCAGCCAGTTGGATTCCTAGTCAGGGACACATGAAGGGAGGAGGGTTATCAAGATAAGAGCACTGGCACTTTTTTGGCACCTGTTTCTGTGCTGCTCATAATTTAGAGGCCTTTAACAAGGCTTGCCTGCCTGTAGGTCATTCATGTTCTCAAGGAATTCTTTGTCTCTTGCGAGGGCATTTAAAAAAAATGCTGGATTTTTCGTTTCATTTTCTTTTTTTGTTTGTTTTTTAAGAGATGGCAGGGGGAGGTGGTCTCACTATGTTGCCTAGGCTGGTCTCGAACTCCTGGTTTAAAGCAGTCTTCCCACCTCAGCCTTCCAAAGTACGGGGATTTCAGACGTGCCACCGTGCCTGGCCTAAATAGTACACCTAGAAACAAGTTCCTCACTAAGTTGTAGGCTGATATGAGAATGATATTTTTTCCTTTTTTTTAATATGGGGAATTTTGATAAGAGGTGGAGGAAAAGAAATTTGGAGCAAGCATTTCAAGATTTCCCACTTGGATAAGAAAACAGATTTGGGCTGGGCGTGGTAGGTCACGCCTCTAATCCCAGCACTTTGGGAGGCAGAGGCAGGTGGATCACCTGAGGTCAGGAATTTGCGACTAGCCTGACCAACATGGTGAAACTAAAAATACAAAAATTAGCAGGGCGTGGTGGCTCATGCCGGTAATCCCAGCTACTTGGGAGGCTGAGGCAGGAGAATCGCTTGAACCCAGGAGGCGGAGGTTGCAGCGAGCCGAGATCATGCCACTGCACTCCAGCCTTTGCAACAAGAGCAAAACTCTGTCTCAAAAAAAAAAAAAACCAAAAAACAAAAAAACCCCTCAAAACCAGACTTGAAACCAAGGTCCTTCCTTCTTGTTTGCCTTTTGGACAAATCTGTATGGCCCTGAAAACGTGTCCAGTTGTCCTGTCTTTAGAAGGCATGGAGGCGAGTCTCAGCCTGGGTGAGGGAAAGAAGTGCTTTGTTCATTTGCATAGTTTACAGAACCTGGAGGATAGGGTTGTAATGGTATGAGAAATGGCCGGTAGATAGAATTGTTGATTAAAAAATAAAAATTTTATTTAGATTTTTATTCTAAAAGTAAAACTTTATGAGTGATCACTTGTGGATAGACACCAAATAAATGTCTTCTGAAGGTCGCTTCTTCTCTGCTAGCCTGTCTGGCCTGAAGAGGATTTCTGTAGATGTTAGGTAATGTTGCCCTTTTACCTCCTTGATGGGCTGATTGAATCAGTGTTTGGGGGTCACTGAGTTAAACTAGAGTCGTGAAGGAGCAGTTTCCTCTGTTTTTTTTTTTTTTTTTTTTTTTTTGAGACGGAGTTTCGCTCTTGTTACCCAGGCTGGAGTGCGATGGCACGATCTCGGCTCACCGCAACCTCCGCCTCCTGGGTTCAGGCAATTCTCCTGCCTCAGCCTCCTGAGTAGCTGGGATTACAAGCACGCACCACCAGGCCCAGCTAATTTTTTGTATTTTTGGTAGAGACGGGGTTTCACCGTGTTGACCAGGATGGTCTCGATCTCTTGACCTTGTGATCCACCCGCCTCGGCCTCCCAAAGTGCTGGGATTACAGGCGTGAGCCACCGCGCCCGGCCTTAGTTTCCTCTGTTTTAAAGCATCTGGAGTGCGAGAGTCCCGGGAGTGCAGCACGCACTCCGCAATGTATGTGCTGTGTCGCCCTGGGTCCCGGTGGTCTGTGTCGCCTCTCCAGCTTCGCCCTGGCCCTGTGCAGGAGCCCCGTGGGGCCCCACTTCTGACCTCTGCTTCCTGTGTGTTGCAGTGATGTGCTCGCTCTGCCCATCTTCAAGCAGGAGGAGCCCCAGCTGTCCCCTGAGAACGAGGCCCGCCTGCCGCCCCTGCAGTACGTGTTGTGTGCTGCCACGTCCCCAGCCGTGAAGCTGCATGAAGAGACACTGACCTACCTCAATCAAGGTAGCGGCCGGAGGCCTGGGCAGGGGTGGAACCCGGAATCAGTGGGGAATTGATGTGAAAGGCCCATCTGGGCCTCATGACTTTGTCAGGGCGCTGAGGTGGGGCTCGGGAAAGAGAACCAGGGGCAGGTTCAGGTTCCATTTCCCAACTCTGTGACCCCCTCCAGCCTCAGTGTCTTCATCTGAAAAATGGAAACATCAGATACCTTATGTGGGTAACAGGGTAATAGTCCTCATTCCTCCTATAGCTCCTCCATGGAGCAGATGCTCAGTGACTGGTAGCATTATTACTGTGCCTTTCTTTTTTTTTTTTTTTTTTTTTTTTTTTGAGACGGGGTCTTGCTTTGTGGCCCAGGCTGACACGCAGTGGCATGATCATGGCTCACTGCAGCCTTGACCTCCGCAGCCCAAGCCACCCTTCCACCTCAGCCTCCCGAGTAGCTGTGATCACAGTTGTATGCCAACATGCCTGGCTAATTTTTAAGTTTTTTTTTTTAAAGATGGGGTTTTACCATATTGGTCAGGCTGAATTGGTCACCTCAGGTGATCCGCCCACCTCAGCCTCCCAAAGTGCTGGGTTTACAGGCGTGAGCCACCGCGCCCAGCATTTTTAAGTTTTTTGTAGAGTGGGGCATCTCACTATGTTGCCCAGGCTGGTCTCAAACTCCTGGGCTCAAGTGATCCACCCGGCTGGGCTTCCCAAAGTGCTGGGATTATAGGCCTGAGCCAATGGGCCTGGGCACTTTGTTACCATTTATTGTGACCACGATCGTGTCCCTTGAAGGTACAGACTGAGCACCGTCAGCACCCCAGGTCCTGGGTCCTTTCTGGAGCTGCACCTGGCAGTGGTGGGAAGGCTGGCCCATGCCCTGCACAGCGCAGGAGCAGGGTCCCATCCATGCTGGACAAAAGCCCTCTGTGGCGATGGGGACAAGTTCCCTCACCGTGTCCTGAGAGAAACGGGCTTTGGAGTTTGTATTCCAACTCTGGCACTTCCTACCTAGCTCTGTGACTTTGAGCTGCCTTTTCTTTTTCTCTGAGCCTTGGAGTTCTCATGTGTAAAACAAGAAGTATAATTTTGTGGCGTTTAAAAGAATGAAGGTCTGTGAGGTGCCTGGTGTGATAGTGGTTGTTCAGTTGCGGTTCCCTTTGTCAGAGCCTGTGGGCAAGTGTCCTGATGGATGGTGTTTTTCTGACTCCTCTCTTGATTATGAGTGTGTATGTTTTGCACTTTCTTCCTGGGTCATCTCCTGACTACCCTAGCATCATGTGGATTTGTCACCTTCTACTTTGTCTTTTATTGTGTGTGTGCCCCGGACATGAAACAGTTCTGGCCACCCACCCAGGCATCCAGCAAGGATGAGCAAAGTACTGTGTGTCTGCTCTGCCCCTGACTGGTATGATACCCCTGCACTTGAAAGCGGCAGAGCAGAAGGGCAGAGGAACGCTGGTTTCTGTAGGGTCCCACGGAATTGCGGAGGAGCTGCAGTGCCATAGCAATGTGTCTTACATGTTCAGCTTCCTCTCTGCGAACTTTGACTCCTCAATTTGGGGAGCCAGCCAGGGTGGAAGTCCAACGTGGTCATCAGGCTCTCTGCTTACTGCTGAACTTGTCAGCTTCTGGGCCAAGAAAGTAGCTGAGAAGTAGCAGCTGGCTCTGTCTGCCTCCTTCTGGGTAGAAGCAACTCCCCCTCATTATAGAGGCAGCGCAGTGGAAGGTGATGCTTTATCCGCAGGGGCAGTTCTGCTGGCCTCAGTTGGTCTTGCTCAGCCGAGTTGCCTCAGCTTTAGAGCTTCCAGCTCAGGCCCTGAGACCTGTGTTCCATCTGCAGCAGACAGTGGCCATGGATGGTGGGTGACATGGTCAAGTGTGTGTATGTGCTGGTGTGTGGAATGCTTTCCGCCCTTTGCCTTTCTCTTCCATGGAAGTTCAAATGCCACCAACTAGTTATGCACCTTTGAGCACTTTTCTTTCCTCTTTGGGCCTCTGCTTTCTTGCTTAAAATTAGCAGGAAAAGAATGAGACGCCTACAGTGTCCATTGAGGTTTGATGTGGTTCTTCTTTTTGGCTGTGTCCTGTGGTGCTGAGGAGTGGGTCCAAGGTCTGAGATCTCGCTCCTGGACCCAGATATTGTGTGTCTGTCCCTGCCCTGTTCCCTGCCCCAGTTGGTCAGGCCATTGGCTGAGTTCCTTACCTTTCCTCCACCTCTTTCAACTCTTTTTTTTTTCCCTTTGAGACAGAGTCTCACTCTGTTACCCAGACTGGAGTGCAATGGCACGATCTCGTCACACTGCAACCTCTGCCTCCTGGGTTCAAGTGATTCTCCTGTGTCAGCCTCCCAAGTAGCTGGGATTTCAGACATTTGCCACTACACCCAGGTAATTTTTTTATTTTTGTAGTGGAGATGGAGTTTTACCATGTTGGCCAGGCTGGTCTCTAACTCCTGGCCTCAAGTGATCCACCTACCTCGGGCCTCCGAAGCACTGGGGTTACAGGCTTCAGCAACTATGCACCCCCCCGATTTTTTTTTTTTTTTTTTTTTTTTTTTTTTTTTTTTTTTGAGATGGAATCTTGCTCTATTACCCAGGCTGGAGGGCAATGGCACAGCTTTGGCTCACTGCAACCCCTTCCTCCCTGGTTCAAGCAATTCTCCTGCCTCAGCCTCCCGAGTAGCTGGGACTACAGTCACGCGCCACCACGCCCAGCTAAATTTTGTATTTTTAGTAGAGACAGGGTTTTACCATGTTGGCCATGATGGTCTTGAAGTCCTGACCTCGGGTGATCCACCCACCCTGGCCCCCCAAAGTGCTGGGATTACAGGTGTGAGCCACCATGCCCGGCCTTCTAGGTTTTTTAAAAAAGAATTTAAAAACTTTATCCTCGCATAGCTCAGTAAAAACAGAGAAAAAGGAGTTACCCCTGTGGTCTCATCATCTTATATCAATTTGGTATATTTAGATATTTTTAAAATTACATTTTCTAGATTATTAAAATCCATTTTCTTTACAGAAAGTTCGAATAATTTAGAAAAGCAAAAGGAAGGAAATTAAAATTAAAATCCCCTCCAATTTCACCAGAAACCACTGCTAACCTTATTTCTACATGTTTGCATGTATATCTTCTGTGATTATGCTGCAGACATATGTCCTTTTTCTTTCATTTACTCTAATTGTCAGCTTTCTCATGTCATTAAAAATGATTCACGGATTTATGTTTTGTAATGGCTGTATAGTGATACATTGTACATTCTATGGCTGTAACCTGTTTCATATCATGGCCACTTAGTTTCCAGTTGTTAAAAATTAAATACTGCTGGCCGGGCGCGGTGGCTCACGCCTGTAATCCCAGCACTTTGGGAGGCCGAGGCGGGTGGATCACGAGGTCAAGAGATCGAGACCATCCTGGTCAACATGGTGAAACCCCGTCTCTACTAAAAATACAAAAAATTAGCTGGGCATGGTGGCGCATGCCTGTAATCCCAGCTACTCAGGAGGCTGAGGCAGGAGAATTGCCTGAACCCAGGAGGCGGAGGTTGCGGTGAGCCGAGATCGCGCCATGGCACCCCACCCTGGGTAAAAAGAGAAAAAACCCATCTCAAAAAAAAAAAAAAAAAAAAAATTAAATACTGCTATGATGAGCAACATCCTTGTATATAAATCTTGCTGTGAAATGCTGATTATTTATTTATTTTAAAAGTAAATACCTAAGAAGTTGAATTTCTGGATCAAAGGGTTTGAACATTGAGGCTTTTGATACATATCACCAAATTGCCTTCTCAGAAGAATGTACCAATTTACACGCCGGCCAGCAGTATACATTTTATTGTCTCTTTTCTAATATTAGTTATTGTTTGTTGTCATCTGATTAGTGAAACATGGAATTTAATCCTAAACTAGCATTTTTTTTTTTTTTTTGAGCTGGGACCTGGCTCGGTTGCCCAGGCTGGACTCGAAATTTCTGAGCTCAAGTGATGTTTTCTCTTCAGCCTCCTAGGTAGCTGGGACTATAGGTGTGTACCACCACCCTTACCTTACAATTAGCATTTCTGTGATTGTTATGCAGTTGAATATTTTAAAATACATTTATTGATCTTTTTGTTTATTATCTTCCTGTTCTTTGCACATTTCTCTGTTGGGGTGTTTATGTCTTATGGATAAGGGCCTACTGTTTTTGAAGAATACATCCCAACCTTTTAGCTGCCATTTGTTGCAAGCATTTTTCTCTGATGGTTGCAGGCCACTTAACTTTTATTGTGTGATAACTATATTTAGGGTGTGAGGTATATGTTGTGATTTTTTTTTTCCTGTAGAAATCTATTTTAAATGTCTATAGTCAAATCTTCATTCTTCGAAAATAAACATTGTTTTTGTGCTTAAAAGAAAATGCCTGCCCATCCCCAAATCAATTAGCTGAGTCGTTTTCTGAATTTCATTCAGAGGTACCTAAATGTTAACACTTACTGAAATGTATTTGAATTTATGATGTGTTATGAAAATCTGAGTTTATTTATTTTTCTAGTTATTCCCTGACTTTTCCTACCTTTTTCTCACAAATTTAAAAAGTCAATTCTGAAACTTTTTTTTTTCTTTGAGACAGGGTCTGGCTCTATCACCCAGGCTAGAGTGTAGTGGCGCTCACTATAACCTCTGCCTCCCAGGCTCAAGGGATCCTCCCACCTCAGCCTCCCGAGTAACTGGGACCACAGGTGTGCACCACCGCACCTAGCTAATTTTTGTAATTTTGGTAGAGATGGGGTTTTGCCATGTTTGCCAGGCTGGTCTTGAACTCCTGGGCTCAAGCAGTCCTCCTGCCTCAGCCTCTCAAAGTGCTGGGACGTTTCTGAAACATAAAAAAACCCCTTCATTCTCAGCAAACTAACACAGGAACAGAATACCAAAACTGCATGTTCTCACTCATAAGTGGGAGTTGAACAATGAGAACATGAGAACATAATGGGCACAGGGAGGGGAAATCACACACTGGGGCCTGTAGAGGGGTGG